TGGGGCGTTGCAGCGGCCTCTCCCGTGAGGGCTCTGACCCCAGAGCGGGAGGAGAAGGGCAGGAGGCCTGTGCTAGACCCGGGACTCCGGGCCCCCAGCTCGCCGCAGGCAGCTGCGAGACGTCCCGCGGATGGCCGCCCAGCTGAGGTGTTCTTTTTCCCGTTTCCTTCTGCCGCCGCTGTGTGTACTCTATCTGATGTTTTACGGATTGTCTCTGTTAACTGCTGCAGGTTCACACCATACGAGTGGTATAACCCCCACCCGTGCAACCCAGACTCAGATGTGGTGGAAAACAATTTTACTTTACTAAATAGTTTCTGGTTTGGAGTTGGAGCTCTCATGCAGCAAGGTACACCGGTTACACTTCGTTATCGCACACGTCCCACAGTCTGCTCAAGGGCTTCTGTGCTGGTAAACTCCACCCTCTGTTAAATACGGCGTATACTGTAAAACCCGATCTCAGAAAGTTAAGCGATAGAAGAAAGGAAGAAAACGATGTGTCACTGCAAAGCGGGAGCAGGCAGCGGAGGGGAACCTGTGGAAGCCAGAATAGGGCTGCGGCAGGAGGAAGGAGGGGAAGCGTCTGAGAGGAAGGGAAGCGGACAGGGGCGCCCGGGAGTTTCTGGAGCTGAAATGTAAAATAATCGCAAAAGCGCTTCATGCTGAAGTTGACTTTATGGGTATAAGAGGTTTGGCAATGGGAAAATGTTGGGCTCCAACCCAGGAGAAACAGTAACAGCCTTAGCTACCCTAGAAAAACTGTTTTAACTGCCAAACAAAAAAAGACGCTCTTTCTTCAGAAGGGTTGTTAAGTTTGTTGGCACTTGTCAAACACTTTGCTTAAAACCAAAACCAAACCTTTTTTTTATGGCTTTTCTGCAGGTATGAGTCCCATTCTTCTTCCAACCCTGGAAGCATTAACTTAACCTAGCCACAAGTCCCTGTTGCTGGTGATTTTGGAAACAGCTGACATTTTACTCAGTTGACAAGGAAGGGCAATGAAGCTTACTCCATATGGGAAGTCAAACAGATATGTGTACTAAACACATTTGTTTATGGCGTATTCTAAGGTTTCCAATTAAATCACTATTCACCAAAACTGGGGTCCACTGAAAAGAATGAAAACATTTCCTGACAAACATTTCAAGTTGCATCAAAGCTGAAAAAAAACCCCCACCCCACGACAACAACCAAAATGGCAATCCAGAGGAAAGCCCAGCAGTACCTTGGTATTAATTTCGTAAACATTTAAGTAAGGAATATAAAACCATCTCTGCATTCATCCAGGTACAACTTATTCTTCCCTCTTTAACAGACATGAATAGCAGTAAAAAAAAAAAAAACCAAACATGAGGAGGGTTTTTTCCTAGATATGGTAAAGAAGAAAGTTTGCACTGTACCTAAGATGCACTTGCTTTTCTTGGTGCACTAATGTACTGACAGGATATAGGGCTTCCTTATAGAAATGACTTTGAAGGAGGATGGATGAAGGAAGAGCCGTTCTGTTTTGCTTTTTTTTGTGTTGTTTTCCTTCCAATTTGTCAGTAAAACACAGGCTGAGGTTTTACAGTATCAGGCAGGTGTGTGTATATAACTGTGATTGCCCTGTGTGTGAAAGTGCCCCAGGACTTTGTGTTTCGATGTACTGCCTTTTTTGGAGTTTACCATCATCCACAGCAAACTGTGGGATGCAGTGTCTGCTCGTTACCACTACCTTGGGTACATGACAGTCAGCCCCAACCAGACTCTGCTTGTCTTTCAAGAAGATTAAAAACGAAACAAAAGAAAAAAAGAAAGAAAGAAAGAAAAAAAGAAAGGAAAAACATTTGTAAGGCAACACAAATGTTTCCATGTACAAACGTGTGGTGCGTGTGATTGTAAGTGCATCATCATTAATGTGAAGAGTTTGAACATGATGTGAATGGTTGTGAAACTCTGCGTCTACCGTTACGCTCTTTCTTGTTGGCAGCAGCTGCTTGTTATGCTTGATTGGAAGGCACTTGTTATTAAATTTTAAAATGTGATGATCAGACTTTCTCTTTTCTACAGAGCGTGAGCAAAGTCTGGATCAGGATTGGCTGTCATGTCTGCCATAAAAAGGCACTAGAGAGACTTCAGCAAGTATTGTGTCTGACCCCGAGTCTTGCTAGCAACGTTTTTATTTAGATGTTACTTCCCCTGTTTTTCCCCTGAAAGTCTCAGATGTGTTATGCATACTCGGAAAGCATCCAAGCAGGGCACATTTCATCCAATTCATGCAGAGAAACTATCACTTTCAGAAAGGAAATCTATCCGCCAGAGCCCCAGTTCAGCCAGGCAGTGGGTCATACAGGGAGCGTCTGGTTAAGGAGAGCGCGTAGGGCAAAGCCGGTGAGCACTGAGCGTAAATTAATGCTTTTTGCTGGAATCAAGGCGCTCAAAAAGGTGATCATTGAAATAATCATGGGAGTGATCAAAAGAAATGCCGGGCCCGCTTGGTTCAGCTGGGAGCAGAGTGCGCTCAGCACCTGACAAAAGCAAAACCGTAGTTCGCTGCATAATTCATAGACTGTGGCATCTTGAGCTTAATTGAACTGAATGTATTCTGCTGCTTTTTCACAAACAACTTTTTGCTAGAGGAAATCACGGGAGGTTTGGCACCTCACCCCACAAATTCAGCACACGGAGCGTCTCCGCCCACTTGTTTGTGCTGCTGTAAGGCTGCGCTGGCAGATTTCATGGTTGCTTGTTAAGGTATCTGCAAGGCAGCTGTATGTATGTGTCAGAGCTAGGTATTGCATCAGGGTACAAGTGTAGAAAATATGTTTGTATACCTGTCTAAGCTTAAAAAAAGTAGCTTCAGGATGACCCAAATCAGCACTCCTAGAAGACAGCTTTTGCAGGTCAACCCCAGCTTAGAAATAAACACACTTTTCCTGCAACCAACAATACAAAAAAAGAATAAGATTTCATCGTATTAAAGGAAAAAAATCTAATCTGAAAAGCAAGAAAGTGCAACAGACCACAGACATAGACCCAGATAGAGCCACAGCTCTTGGAACGGTTACATTTGGACTTGAAAGTTTCAAGCAAGAGTTTGTGCTTTCAGACTGCTGGCTTAATTTGAAATCCATGCAGCACGAGGGCTGCACAGGCAGAGCATCTGCTCCCACAGTTTGGCAATTCTGCCAACCTACTCAAACCCTTGGGCTATGCTTAGCTTTGACCTTTAAGAGACATGTCTATGTGTTTACAAAGCTAAGTTAAATCTGTTTGCTGGTTATTTGGAAAGTTTTTACCCTTTTGGTCTTTGCCCCAAAAGTCACATTCAGAGTCTTTGCAAAGTCTGAAAATATTCTTTGTAATGTGTTTACGTTTCTTACAGAAATCATTTAATAGCTGGGGAGAGATAATATGTCAACAGGTTTTCCTAGTAATAGAAATATGTTTGTCACATCAAAAGCTTTACATGCTGAGATCTCCATTCACAGGCACTTAAGTATTTTCTTAAGTCCGTCCTTCATCAACAAAATAATTATGCAAAGACTTTCAAATCAAAAGTATTCAAGTGGCTGCCTAAGTGCTTTTCTGAACCAGATCCTTGAATCCCACATAATGAGCGATGTTCAGTGGGGACACCACTAGAAAAAAACCCCCAGCATAAAATTTGCATCGAAATGCTTAGAAGTACGAGTACCTGTGTTGCTTACGTTCAGTTTGCCGGAGCTATTTAGGAGCTATTTCAGTGCATTTAAGTGCACACCCACCCATGCTGTTCCGTGGGGTTTTATGACAATGGCAGATCACTTGGATATTTGTCCGTGTGACATGCAGGCAGATCTGCTAAAACATTTTCAGCAATAATGAGTGGTATATACACTGTCCAAAACTCTGCATTGCCCTGTAGAGCCAAAGGATACGTCCATTCACCCTCTGAATTTTCAAGCGTAAATCACATTTGCAATAAAACACGTTCTGGATTTTGAGCTCAGGTTCACACAGGCTGATGAATTCACTGTCACCGTATTGATCACCCTGTTCCTACTTAGGTATGTGGATAGGAGGCACAGGGCAGGTTTCTCTTGTGAGGTATTTCTGACAGGTAGCTTGTAAGCAGAATAGCATTCTGTTTAAAAAATTGATTACTGTACACTGGCAAAAAGGGATTCAGGAAACAGACAAAAATACTAGTATAGCTTGCTGGGGATGTAAGAGGTTGATGTCAGAATGAGCATTAGCTCAGAGATGTGATGGGGCTTAGACCCAAGGATAATTCCATTTGTCATGTATCATGGCATACATCCCCTTCACAGTGTGTAACCATTATAAATGTTAGCTGTGCATCTGTGAGATTATTGTTTAAATCATTTTATCATACTACAGCTCATAAAAACATTCTGTGCCTAAAAACAGTCTGTGGTATCAGGAAAGGCATCTCTCAGCATCATTTTAATATGATTGTTTTGATGATATTATAACAGGATCAGAGCTGATGCCCAAAGCTCTTTCTACCAGAATAGTTGGAGGAATATGGTGGTTTTTCACCTTAATCATAATCTCATCCTATACTGCCAACCTGGCTGCCTTCCTGACTGTGGAGAGGATGGAATCCCCCATTGATTCAGCAGATGATTTGGCAAAGCAAACCAAGATAGAGTACGGGGCTGTTAGAGACGGATCCACAATGACGTTCTTCAAGGTAAGATGGCATCAGCCAGCTCTCTACAGTCAGACTGACTCATGGCCCTCCCGTGATAAAGGGAGAGGTGGAATAACAACACTTGAAAGGATTAGCGTAATAGGCAAATATATTGTTTGCCCAAATTTGTAGAGGATCCTTCAGCAATATTAAAGATGGGAGATTTTCCCCTAAAACATATGGAGAAACAATCTGATGCTGTGGGGGTCAAACACATGCCTTTGATGGTTGGATCTGAAGGAAACCAGGGCATGGACACGGGGACATTGTCCTCCACGTTGCTTCTCAGGGCAGGATCTTAGCTGCTTCCAGCCGCTTGGCTAAAGATCACCTCTGAAGGTCACAGTTGCACTGGAGTAATGCAGCAGGCAGTCAAAATGCAAGTTTGTTTATTCCTTTTTTAAAATGGTCCATGGTCAACATTGCACAGACTATTAATATACGGGTCACATACACACATGAACACATCTGTAAGTAAAAGATCATTTTCTGTGGCTAATTGCTTTGTAGATAACTGAATTGTTGGGGTTTTTTTCACTATTAGTATTAATTACATCCAAAATGGGCTAGTCTCATAAAATGTCAACGTAAAAGCCGACAAGCTATAAATATAGGATATATGTGCGAAAATCCTGTGACAATTAAAACTAATTAGCAGCTTCGTCGGTGGTGTAAGCAGGGAAGTTAAGCGCTGAATGAACCGGTATCATGCTTTTTACTGCAACAGCTAAGAATGGCGTTCATAGACAGTCAAATACGCAGTGCCTTTGAGGAGGAAGAGACACTGTGGGGAAGCAGCATCTGGGGCAAAATGACACGGGTGCCACGCACGAGCCCTCTCCTTTGCTGCTCCAAGCCCCAGCCCCCTGCCCTGCTTCAACCGCAGGCCCTTACACTTCCACACCAGGCAAATGCTTGCAGACGAAAAGGATCTGAGCTGAAGTATTTGGGTCATCCCTCAAAATGATTAATGCTTATCAAGGATGCTTCAACCATGTGATAGGTCTGACGGTTGGCTATCCCCACCGGAGCTGTCAAGGGTGCAGTGCCCTTGTAACGCCCCTCCTGCGGCTGAATAGAAATGTTTCCGTGCTGGAAGAAACGCACAAGCCACAGTATTTTTCAGAGCCTCGTTCTAGTTGGTTCTTGAAACAATGAGCTGACATTTCCATTAAGATATGCTGGGAAACCCATCTGGAGATGTTCCTGGAAACTGCGTAAGGCAAATACTGGGCTCTCGTGGGGAATATAAGGCAGGAGGCGGCAGCTCTGTCGCCTTCTGAAGGACTGGGAAACCCCCCTGGTCTAAGAGCTCTTCACTGCCCAAAGACAGTCACTGCCGGTGCTGTTCTGAAGTCAAATTCAGCATCAGAGAGAAAAATTCAGAACCTATTTCTGCCATGTCTTTTAGAGGAAATAGCTTCTGAACTCCAACATGAGAAGTTCAGAATAAATTTCTAGCTCTATTTTCCAGCTTTACACTGATTTTTTTTCAGCATTAATCCCTGAGGTTAAAATGTGTAGGCTTAAAAGAATGTAAGCCTTTAAAAAAAAAAATTCAGACAAGGTGATTAAATATTTATATGCTGTACATGCTAGCTTACTTGTGCCCGAAATACGCATGTACACAAACACAAGTGAAAGGACGCTAGATTTTGTACAGAATGGAGATGAATTCTCTGGCAGAATGAAGGTGACATAGTGAAAGATGCATGAAAAATACAATTTATCACACTTGTAAACCAGTGAGATGCACACAGTGTTATATAAAAGGTATTATTATTTTTATTGCAAAAGCCCTTCAAGATCCTCACAAGATCAGGATTTCTTTACGCTGTCCAAAACTTAAAAAAAAAAATCACAGAGTAGGGCTCTGCACAGTAAGTATGATAGTTACTTATGTACGCAAAAGGAAGACTGTGTGCTCTGTGAGGGCATGGCTTTGCCTGGGAGGATGTAAAACCAAATACTCAGAATTAGGAGAAGGCAGGAATAAGGGTTTCTGCGCAGCAGCTACTCCCATTCCCGCGCTGCACAGGCATTACGGTAGTTTAAGAAAAAGCAACTTTATTAAAGAAATAACTCTGCCACTTTTTGGGGAGCTGTGAAGCCCTGAGCTGGCCTGGACAGCGTTCCCCGGGCTGCCCCATGTCCTGATGGAGCTGGGAGCTCCCGAGCGCCCGGGGTACCCCCCAACAGCCGTGCCCCTGGGGTTTGAGGGACGGAGGGGCTGAGCTGGGGTGAAAGGTGCTTTTCACGCTGGGCAGCCTGTGCTGCAGAGACAGTCCTGCCGCCTGAGAAAGCTGATGTGATGGGGACAAGGAAAGGGAAAGGAGGGATGGGCACAACCAGCTGCAACAGCATAAAAACCTCCTGTAGGAGTGTAGCACAGGGCTGGGTTGCGCTGAGGAAAGGTCATTATTTCAAGAGCTTCCTATGTTGCAAGGTTTGATTTATCTAAGACCTACGTGCAGTACTGACAACAAGAAATGACAAGAGAAACAACAGATTCTTTCAGACCAACAGTTTTTGAAAACAAAACCACGACACTCCAGGAATTCCTCACTACAGAGGAGAGAGAAACAGGAGAGCGCCTGTCATGTAGGACACAAAATGCAAAGACCAGATGGGTCTGATTTTCAGGTCTATAAGAGACACATACGGTAAAGGAATTTCTGAAGACATCAAGATAAAGATCCTGGCACGAAGCAGACTCTGAAGAGCTTTGGTTTAGGACTCTGTGCTTAAAGCAGGAGCGGGAAGCCCCTGAAAGACGGTATTACGCTTTGTACCTACTGGATGGGATGCAGGTTGGGAACCGTCTGGGAAAAGCAAGGTACTTCCATTGCTTTTAGAAAACTCTATTTGCATGTATTCAAACTTAAATTGCCTTTTTTCTTTAATCTTGTTAATAATGCAAATACTATCAGTTGTGGTTTTCCACTAATTTTGAATGTCTTACACTAGTATCCCTGTTGTAATAGCGTCCCCAGAAAATCTATTGCTAAAGAGGCAGTACTTTCAAGAAAGTTTCTGCAAGGACCATGCCTTCTAGCCAGGTAGTGGTGGGAATGAAAACAAAAGGAATTTAAATTACTTGTGGAGGGAAATGGAGTCCTGACTTTGAAGGAACCTCAGTTAGCCTCAGTACAACCTTGTACACAGATTCCAGATCTGGCCATACCAGATGAAAATACCCAGAAAACAGGGCCTGGACAGTTAAGGAGCGTTCCAGCAAGGGGTGCAGGTGACCCAGCAGGGTCTCAGGCAGCATTCACCATCTATGTGC